GTTTTTATAAATATTTATAATGAATTATTTGTGGAAATATGACTTATAAATGATTATAATTTGTATACTTTATTATAAGGATTGATAGAAACAATGATTTGATTTGAATTTCCATTTTTAGATCACAGCCTATGATAAGGAGAGATTGGATTCGCTTTTTAATGATCTCTCCGTTTGAGACCATAACGTAAATAACAATTTTTCATATTTGCTGTTAATTAACATTAGTATTGGTTTTGTATTTCATACAAATTTCACTATCATTATTATTCATATCCACTATCTTTCTAAATAACTTGTGGCTTATATATAGTTTATTTAATTATTAATTTTTACTCTGTTTTCTCTATTACTTTCATAATACAACAAAATTCTTGTATATTTTTTATAATATGAATTTCTTTTTCAATTAAATATTTGAAATAAAATAATAAACAAGTAATGAATAAGTAATTATTCTCGTTTTATATTAATCTTCAATAATCACCTTGATCCATATAAGAATCAGTGAATTTTAATTAAATTGTTACATAATTTCTATTGAATTGTTTTCAAGTGAATATCTGTGAGTTTTGTAATGTATTTATAACTAAATTTAGCCAAAAATGAGTGACACATAAATATGTTTTCCCAAAATCATGTCATTTTATTTGAAATTCAAATAATTATTTTATCTGAAAATGATTTGAAAATATTATTTCTTCTATAGTTAACTCAACTGATTGTATGAATTCATATCACAGGTAATAATGCCTAAGAAGACCACAAAGACATACACTTTAAAGGAAATACGTGAACACAACACTCGGGAGTCGGTATGGCTACTGATCCACAACAGTGTCTACGATGTGACCAAATTCATAGACGAACACCCGGGCGGAGAGGAAGTCCTATTAGAGCAGTCCGGAGGCGAAGCCACCGATGCCTTTGAAGAGATCGGACACTCCATGGATGCCAAGGATATGATGAGTGAATACAAGATCGGAGAGTTGTGTTCGAGTGATAAGACAAAGATGACCGCAATTGGCAAGAATAGCACCGACTCTACACCGACTGTCCTATCGGGTTATAGTAAGGGTTGGAAGTCGTGGGCCCTACCCCTCGGCTTTGCTGTATTCGCCAGCATTATGTATACCTTTTGTTTGAATTATTCTGCTTTTGAATTATGAATTTTGTTTAATCGTATGATGTTTACAATTAAAAGTGTTACCAATTCCTTGAATATTAATTGATCGAGAATTGTTGAATTTAATTGTCAAATACTATAAACGAAACACTAATTTTTAATGTGAAATGTAATTTTTATTAAAATCTTATAAGGTTTATTGTTAAAAACCAAAATATTCTTTTGCTTGTTAAATAATTAGTATGGAATCCAATCATCAACTGGCCCAAGGTGCAATTGTAATGGCAAGTATGATCTTTAATGATATTACTTAAATAAATATCTATAACCTCTTGAAGTGCAATCATCCTCGTCCTCATCGCAACCAATTATAATAAAATCATTATTTTCACTCATATTCAATTCAAACATTAATATTAAGTCTATTTTAGGAAAATTGATTTCATGTATTTCAATATATGAGATGATTACTTTTTACACAATAGCATAGAACCACTTTTAAGTGTTATTATGAATTTATATTTTAATGTAAATGAGTAAATAAACACTTGTATATCATTTGTTTGCAGACTATAAACACCTAATTCAGTGACAAGTGAGACAAAACAATTTTTAATTGGAAATATTTATATTCATGAAATATCAGGAGTACTTTAAAAGTTCCATGAAATTCGTAGCCTATGCCTAATATTAATAGTAAATAATAAAATATAAAATCATCACAATAAATTCTAGTGGATAGTTTAAGTTGATTTATATCCACGAATAAATTGATTTGAGATTTTTAGATATAAAAAATTAAGTTTTCCACATACAGGGCGGCCAGAATATGGCTATACCACTTTGATTTCAATTTATTTAAATACCGTTTTGTT